TACATGTCAAAGGTTGAAGCTCTAATGAGAGAATACCCAGCTCCACCTGAGGAAGAACTCTACCCAGAGGTCTGTGCTGAGAAGGCCTGGACCCTTTCGAGGTTTGACAAAGAAAAGAGGCTGCAGGCTGAAGAGCTCTTCCAGAGAGCCGTGATGATGCAGCCAGACAACGTGGAATGGCAGACCAGCTGGGCCATATTATCAGCAGATCCCTTCCTAGACAACATGGAAGACATGCCTCCCGAAGTCTTTGAGAAACTGAGATCAGCCACTGAACGAGATCCAGAAAACTTGTATGTTGCTGCTCTTTATCTGAGGGCACGAGCTGCAAAAGGAGAACAAATTCAAGATGAAGCTCAAAGATTGGCTGAAAGGATCCTAGAAAGATTTCCAAGCAGTTACAATGGCTTCAGCCACTTAGGGCGACTGTACAGGGACTATATATCAAAAGATGACGCTATTAAGGTAGCCAAAGAGGCCATGAGGAGATATCCTGACAGTCGTTATGCAAAGAGATTTGCTGCCATCTGCTACAAGAATAAAGTCCTTTCCCCAGACTTCAAACCCAGTAGTCAAAGCGGCATCGTCACACGAGCCATTAGTCTCTGGGAGGAGAATATTGATCTCTATGGTGAATCTAACCTTAAAGATCAAATAAATCTAGCTAATTTATATGCACAGGTGGATGAAAAGAAAGCTGAACAGATTTATAAAGAGATGTTGAACAAAAAAAAACTGGATTTAGCAGAGGAACAGATGCTTTACAACTGTCATGCTAAATATTTATTCTACATTAGAAAAGATAATTATAGGTCCACTGAGTACCACATGATGGCGGCAAAGATTCCAGTAGAATCAGAGTATCGACAGACAAGCATCAACGAGTTGGTGAAGACCTTGAAAAGAAGCAAAAATGAAAAAATGTGTGAAAAAATCAGGAAGCTTCTGACCAACCTGAAAGTCTGAATCAGTGAATATTAAAGAGATTTCAAAGAAAGATTCTACAGAGTTCTGGTTCTGCAGAGTTAAGCCCCAGGCTCATTCATTATAAAACCTGTTTATTAAATCAGAATATAATTAAAAGTAAGTTCATAAATGGTTTATAAGGATTTATTTTTTTCAAAAAGTAAATTTATTGTAACGAAAACACATAATCTAATTTACTAAAAAAGGATGTAGATCCTAACCACACTTTTTAGATAATTTAAGATGTTGAAATTCGTTCAGCATTATAATTTAATTTATAACTCTTTATCCCTTTAATTATTAAATAGCATGATGAAAGCTTAATCAGATCATTTTTGATATAAATTAAGAAATGTATCAATGGGGGAACATTAGTGAACTTGGCTTATGACCTAAAGTTTAGCTTAAGAATGGTCAATGTTATTTAGCTTATATTAAATCTGATTATACATATTTCACGTTTTTTCATAAAAAAAAAACAAAAAAACAGAACTATTCCCTTAAAAATATATAATATATATGTTTTTTTTAGAAATAATTTTGGATTTCTAATATTATTTTTTGCATTGTCATGATTTGTTGTGAAATATATGTAATGTCAATACATTTTAAAAATTACATAAAAGTTAAATTACATTGATGTCTCTGAGTTTATGTCAGATGTAATTTGTTTGTGGCATTTTAAGTTGATTTTACTTCTTATCTTTTCCTGTGTGGTAAGAAAATATCTTTATTTGTTTAGATGTAAAAAAAGTCAAGTCAATTTCGAATCTATTTAAAAAAAACAGGCTCATTATTGTTTGCTGAGACAATGAAATCAGCTTATAGAAACACACCCCAAAAAACAGTTGTTGGCATAAGTTTATAATGAAAATAAAGCTTGTTTGTGATTCTTGACCTTTGACCTTATCTGGACATTTGATTTGAAGCTTTGGACATTTATGCTCTGTTGGAATTCATTAGCTGCATCCTCCGAAGGCCAGATTCGGAGGACGATTATGTCATAGCGCGGCGGCGAGGTCTGGTTGGATTCCAAGACTCCTCGTTATGCAGCCTAGAAATGCATCAGTCTTTTTGCCCCCGATTTGAAGGATGCGTCTGATGTATCCTCTCTATCCTTGGATATCCCAGGATTCATTGCAAGTCCAAGCAAGCCGGCTGCTCCGTGATCAGAGGAAATGGCGAATGGCGCCGAACAGTGGTGAAAATTGGAAGTTCAGTTTAATATACTCCAAGTATGTGAATAGTTCCATCTGAAATGAATTAAAGCAGTTGTTTTAATGGTGGTGAAGTTTGATTTATCTCCAAGGTATTTATCTGTTACTCTTTAAATGGGTTTGCCTGTAATTTAAGGACTGCAATTTTTACCACTAATTGAAACGTCTTCCAATACACATTAACATGAATTCAAGACACTGTAGTAAACAGATAAATGGAGGCAGAAGATGTCTTTCAGTCATCAATGCACACATTCAGCGACACACAGCAGCTCTTTCAAGCTGGGCACAGTTTCATTCACAACACCTGTCCCATCAACCAGGAATCAGAATCAGAGATACTTTAATAATCTCAGGGTGAAATTACTTTGATTATATTACTGTAATAGAGTGACTATAGGACCAGTTTGACATAACACAGTTTCATACAATATATATAATTTTGGGGGTCCCCGCTCCATCTCGCCATCACTGGATTGTTGATAGGCTTTTGGAAGTACAAGGTGCTGTGAAGTCACCAGCCGCCGTATTGGTACTCCCTAGTTAGACCGGTCAGAATGTAAACAATATGTGCGCTAAACCATTGAAGGACGATGATGTTTTCATTTTCAGGGGGCTTTTAGACTTAAAATGAAGGTAAGGTCATCACTTTGACACACACTTGCTTTCATAGCGTCAGAATATTACTGTAATTTATGGTAAAAATAATAGGCACATCACATTACATATTCTGTATGAAGTCTGTTAGGATAATTATCATTAAAGATGTGTCTGTTTATTACACCTTGGTATTGGCTGCTTTTTTCATGTCAGAACAGATGTTTTCGAAATAGTTAATCTAATACAGACAGTGCCTCTGTCTGGATATACAGACGGGAGCGGTGTCCTTCAGCTAAGTGTAATATTTTGATAAGGCTGGAGCCATGATGTCTAATCATCTGCTAACGTGTATGATGTAAAATAAGATAATGTGGCAGACTGGAGATGTAAAAAAAGCCTTTCTTAACTGTTAATTGGGGCCACTTCCTGAGAGGTGAGCCCTGAGGTGGGCAGCTGCCATTCTGAAAACTCTAAGCAATTTCTCTGATCTGAGTAAGATTACAATTTATATCCCAACCTGTTGTCATGTCTTCTGGTTATTTAATACATATAAGTTATGAAGTGTTATTTAAAGATTTTGTCCTGAATGATCTCTTTTCAGGGAAAAGAACCGGAGAGATGCGTCAAGGTGCATACACAGAGCCTATCGTTAACAAATGGGTTGAATGATGGGGGGGAGACTGGAAACTAGGTTTTTTTAAACAAGCTTTTCAAAGCATTTCATCATGATGGAAGTCAGTGCGACAGGCCGGTAGTCATTAAGTGAGGTGACCTGAGGCCTTTTTGGGACCGGAATGATGGTGGCTTCAAGTCTGCCACCATCATTCTAGTATGTAAGTAAGTATAATGACTGACACTTGAAATACTTAATAATTGTTGCCACAATTATTACAAGTGAGTCAGTAGTTATGTTAACAGTTGGAGCAGACTGGGCACATAAATGGACCACATGCTCTTCCGAGCAATGAAGTGTGTATTGCAAGCAAACTACTCAGGTTGCCTATAAATGAGGCCAGAAGACATTTCCAGTGCCTTATATAGTTTTGCAAAAAATTCCCAAGCCTTCTATTAGCAGAGAAAAAAAAGTTTTTTTGAAATATACCGTGCTTCAGAAGATAAAGGAGCTGTGTCCTTCTCATCTAGGCTCAGTTTTTCCATAGCAAGGTTTGGGGCAACAGAGTGGGAAAAAAAAAAAAGACAGAAGGACTGTTGCGACTCGATCAGAACTAAAGCAGGAATGACCCTGCCTTGCTTTTCTCTAAACTAATTCGTCAAAGTCCTGTCGAGCAGTCAAAAGAAGATTTTTCTTTTTTTGTTTGTTTCTGACAGTTTGGCTGAAGTCTGATTGAAGCAATTACTGATTGATTTTTTTCCTTTTGTTGATTTGTGGATTTATTCTCTAATCACCTGATCTCTAATCAAGCAGTCTAAGTATAAGTCTAAGTCTTCCAATTGAAGCCTTTTTGTGGTAAAAGATTCACCTTTACATAGTCAGAAAGGAAAATGAAGAGGAGTTATATCCGTCAAAGAGTTGTTGTCCCTTTCGGCAGAAGTTTTGGATTGCAGCACATCTGGACAAAACATATGTATGATGCCATCCCTTGAATGATTTATAAAACACAGAATGACTGTGTTTGTGGACAATTTCTTCACCTTTCTGTCTTTGGCTAACAGACTTCGGCATAAAATATCTGCTTGGCACAATCAACAGAAATGGTTGGAGATACCAGCAACTGAAGAGGAAACCTTGGACTGCCAGTTGTATTTCCACAAAGATATTTCCATCTCTAAACTTCCATGTGGACGGTGTATGCAACAAAGAAAAATAAATCTGTTCATCTTCTAAGAACCATTGATCTGAAAGTAGAAATAATGGAAACAGAAAGCAAACCAAACTATGCTGTTCAATACAAGCATTTTAAACGCTGTGTTGATGTTGTGAACCAAAATTTTACAAATTTTGATGCATGAAGGATCACACAGAAAGTCCATAACTGAGTTTTACAACCTACTGGACATGGCTGCAACAAATCCACACATCTTGAATAGAGAATCCAAAGAAAGTTGGCAACAAACAGTTAAGCTTATTTATTTTAATTTGGATACTTTACTGTGGATCTCTTGGTTGTTACTAGTGTTGCACTGATACCAAAACCAGCATCGGACGGTGGCCTGATCCAGCACTAAAATGGTGGTATCGGCGAGTACCAACAAATAGGGCACCGATACCATTTTGAGTGCCAAAAGTTTATTCAACTATTGTCACCCATTCCAGGTAGGAAATAAAAAGTTTTATTGGATTCACTTTATATTAGTTTTTTTTCTGCTTCACAATGGTATGCAGCAGCTTGACAAAGCCATGATGGCAATTATTTTACATCCAAGTAGTATGTAGTTCTTCATATACACAGACACACACACACACACACACATTAATTTCACATAGATGGTATCGGTATGTATCGGTGAATACTGCACAGCCAGACATCGGGTATCAGGGCCAAAAAATAGCCTCGGTGTTACAATCACAGAGAAAAGACTTCACGTCAGTGGCGCTATAGTGTATTTATGTTTATTTCTGTGACTTTTTTTTCTCAATTCGTATAAATTGTACAATATCAAGAACTTTATAGTTTTCTGATGATGCCGAATTTCCATATAACTTTGTTGTATGTAAATTTTTCCCTTTTTTATTCATAAACATATGAATGTCCAGGTTTTGCCAATTGTTTATTTATCATCAACCACAAATTATATTATTAAAGGTGAACCTTTAACCTTTCATTGCCCCAAAACTCATTAATTTCCCACTACAGGAATGAAAAGTATATCTTTTCTTCATAATAACTGGATGATTGTTATAAAAAATGAAATTTACTTCAATATTGGATGGATCAAGCAAAAAGCTCTTTGTTCCCTTTCTTCTTTAAATCAGACAGTTGATGTCCTCCACACTACTCTTAACATTTCTAAGCTTTTGATGCTCCCCAAAGGCTTAAGATGGCCTTTCATCTTAAAGGGGAACACTGTTTTTTTTTCAATTGGCCCCTTGATTTTATGTTATTACATCATGTTCTACTCATCCCCAAATGAGTTTTGTGTCATTTGGAGCTGTTCTAAAGATATTCAGTTTTGTAATCCAAGTAACGTCTTTCTATGGGCAACGTTGAAGAACATGATGTAATAACGTAAAATCAGGGGCTCGATGTAAAAAAAAACGGTATTCCCCTTTAACTGAGTGAAATTATTAAAAAAGCAAACCTTACAATTTGATAAATTCTACATTATTCTTTCTAAAATAAATTCACTCTGAGTTACATTTTCTATTAGGATTCTTTGAAGACATGAGCCCAGTTCCTTTACGAGACAGAAACTGTTACATTTAAATGGACTTCAGGTAGTGAGTTGAAGAAGTTCCCTGTTTCCTGCTGAGTCTCAGCAATAAAGCTAGTGACATGTTGCTGGGAGTTTCTATTTAATGAGAAACAAAAGTTTAATCCTCCCAGTTTAGATTATGAACAGCAGAACTGAGATTTGATATCTTTATGGTGCTGCACCTCAAGGAAGGCAGAATATATGAGGACAGAATCTGAGAAGGTTTAAACCACCAGAGACAAAAAAACACCTGAAAGATGAGGTGAGTTTCTGTTTCTCCTGCTTTCAAATGCAGATGTTTTTAATCATTTAAGCTTTGATAATAATCTGTTTACAGGGTTAAAATGAGACAACAGACAGAATCAGTTTATGTTCAGACGTCATTTTAAAGCTGATGTGTCAGACAAAATTATGTAACTGAACCAGCACCAATTCATATGTGTAATTCTGTAATCTTTTTAGTGAAGCCACTAAGAGACTTTAAGTCCTTAAAATGAACCCTTAAAATGAACCCTAACCTAAGGTTGATTATTTTGAGAAGAAAAAATTCCACATGATCTCCCAGGTTCTTATTGATCTCAGCTGCTGTTCTTCACAACAAGGTATATTTAAAAAACGTGGTGTTCATTTTCAACTCCTGTTCTGCAAAGGAAGCAACAGCCAAACCAAACAGAACCTGAAATTAATTGAACTTAGAAGTTTGGCTTTACATGCCTTCCTTTACTTTGTTGGATTTAGGTTTGGACTTTGACTAGAACACTTTATTTTTTTCTAAGCCATCCATTGTATCTCTGGCTGTTAGTTCCGGGCTGTTGTCTTACTGAAAGGTGAACCTACACCCCATTCTTAGCTATTCTAATGCCTCTAAGTTCTGAATGTAGCTTCCTATTAGCTCAGACCACCTTAGTGAAAATCTGAGTAATCAAGAATATTAAGGCAAACACTTTTTCTCCATAAAAAAAAATCTTTGATACACAACACATGACATTTCTACTGCTGCAAGTTCATTTCTGTCATGTTTATTGCCTCATCAGTTCTGCTCAGAGTCTGGAGAACAAACTGGAGGCCCTGCAGTGCCATTTCACCTGGAACCTAAATCCTGGGAGTCACAGACTTACTGTTATACAGAACACTCTGGAAGACATCGGCACAGGGGGGGGAAATATCTGGCTGGGTCACATCTACAACCTGCAGGGGTTCATCCAGTACAAGCTGGGCTCCTCTGAAAAGGCCCTGAACATCTTCAGCCGAGCCACTGAGACCTTCCAGCTTCTTCTGATGAAGGTCCCTGGTTGATGGTGAACTTTGGGAATCTGGCCTGGCTGCACCATCGTATGGGTGAAGATGAAAAGAGTCAGGATTACATGTCAAAGGTTGAAGCTCTAATGAGAGAATACCCAGCTCCACCTGAGGAAGAACTCTACCCAGAGGTCTGTGCTGAGAAGGCCTGGACCCTGATGAAGTTTGACAAAGAAAAGAGGCTGCAGGCTGCAGAGCTCTTCCAGAGAGCCATGACGATGCAGCCAGACAACGTGGAATGGCAGACCAGCTGGGCCATATTATCAGCAGATGCCTTCCTAGACAACATGGAAGACATGCCTCCTGATGTCTTTGAGAAACTGAGATCTGCCACTGAACGAGATCCAGAAAACTTGTATGTTGCTGCTCTTTATCTGAGGGCACAAGCAGCAAAAGGAGAACAAATAAGGGGAGAAGCTCGTGTTTTGGCTGAAAGGATCCTAGAAAGATCTCCAAGCAGTTACAATGGCTTCAGCCACTTAGGGCGACTGTACAGGGACTATATATCAAAAGATAAAGCTATTAAGGTAGCCAATGAGGCCCTGAGGAGATATCCTGACAGTCGTTATGCAAAGAGATTTGCTGCCATCTGCTACAGAAATAAAGTCCTTTCCCCAGACTTCAGACCCAGTAGTCAAAGCGGTGTGACACGAGCCATTAGTCTCTGGGAGGAGAAGATTGATCTCTATGGTGTATCTAACCTTAAAGATCAAATAACTCTAGCTAATTTATATACAAAGGCGGATGCAAAGGCGGATAAAGAGAAAGCTGAACAGATTTATAGAGAGATGCTGAATAGAAAAGAACTGGATTCAGCAGAGGAACAGATGCTTTACAATTGTTATGCAAAAAATTTATTCTTCAATAGAAATGATCTTTCCAGGTCTATTGAGTACCACATGATGGCGGCAAAGATTCCAGTAGAATCAGAGTATCGACAGACAAGCATCAACGAGCTGGTGAAGACCTTGAAAAGAAGCAAAGACCCTAAAATGTGTGAAAAAATCAGGGAGCTTCTGACCAACCTGAAAGACTGAATCAGTGAATATTAAAGAGATTTAAAAGGAAGATTCTGCAAAGTTCTGGTTCTGCAGAGTTCTGCCTCTGCTTCATTCAATATAAAGACTTTTTTATTACATCCCAATATAATTAAAAGTAAGTTCATAGCTGGTTTATAAGGATTTATTTTTTCCAAAAGTAAATTTATTGCAAAAGAAAACACAATCTAATTTACTAAATAAGTATGTAGATGCTAACCACACTTTTTAGATAATTTAAGATGTTGTAATTCGTTCAGCATCATAATTTAATGTATAATTCTTTCTCATTTTTATTTATCAAATAACTATAAAAATGGGGATAACAGGAAGGGCTTATAATTTGATTAAATATTTTTTTTGCTTAATAAAGTTATACAGGTAAATATGGGAGTAACCAGATCGGATAAATATAAAATTGACAATGGAACTCCACAGGGAAGTATTATCAGTCCTTTATTATTCTCAATCATGATTAATGACATTTTTAGAGAAGTAGATCAGGATATTATGCAGTCTTTATTTGCTGATGACGGAGCCTTTGTCTAAAAAAGGGAAAAATCTAAGTTTAGTATATGAGAAAATACAAAATGCTGTTGAAAATTGAGCTTATAACTGGGGAGTTAAATTCTCAGTAG